TAATACTGATTCAGTATGGTTTTAGTTTTTCATATGAAGGACATGCCACCACATAAGCTTCGGACCTGGTCGTTTTAAACGATTCTGAAGCATAATCTGTGCTCTTTGCGGATCTAGGATTTTGAGAAGGTATCGGTCGACAGTTCTTTGGGACAGCACTAATTCATTTATAGCCATGAAGCATTCCGTGAGGGTTTAATTGTTCCTGCAGGAACAGTGCAACTTCAAGCAAGTCGAAATAGAGAGGGCTTCTTTGCCTAAACAATTCTAAGGACTTACTGCGCAATGTGTACAAAACTAATTCCATCCACATTGAGGGAACCCAGTATTTCCCAGAGTCGCACACCTAAAAGGAAATAAAAGCATATTAAATCTGACAACCCACTCATTGTTTACGTTTCATGTAGCGTAGCTCGACAATAAATGTCCTTCATGATCTCCTAAATATAACATAATAATATAATTATGAGATCTCATCTCGTAATTATGAGAAAAGATCTCATAATTACGAAGCTGTCCAATTTTTTTTTCTTTGATGAATGCAATACGCTTCCGTATTAGCCTAATGCATACATACGGATATTTGATTAGTATAATTCAAGTTGTAAAAAGCCAGAGAGGAGGCCTTAAAGAGAAGCGTATGACCTTTGACCTATACAGTAAGACCTTGTGGTCCAGTGGATTAAAATTAACAAACAGGTGCTCTACTGGGCTACAGAGAACCGCTTCAATCTGGACTTTTCTAAGCAAAATAAATCACTGTTTAAGGTTCCAAAATGTTGTACTTTTGATCTACAAAGCGTTTAACTAAAGCTTGACAAAAATAATAAAAAGTCAACCACACCATTAAAAACAGTTTCATCTACTGAAATATTTTCACCATTTATTTTTACATCCCAGGTAGACAGTTTTCCCCACGGAAATGATGAACTTTTTGTGAATCGCTTTGCTGTGGTTCTTTTAATGGACTTTGTAATGTCAGTATAAATACTCTGCTGAGCTCTGGTAGGTACGCTAACAGAAGCCTAACAATCAGCATCCTGCCATTTCCACAAACATTGTGCTTTACTTAAAACAACACTTTGGCTTTTTGTTTGCCCTACTACAGCCAACCAGCTTATTCCACTGTTAAGGCATCCTTTGAAAAATTCCTAAATTCAGATAGTTATCTGGATCATGATTAAAATTGAATGGATTTCATATTGGGCTAAAGACACACCTGTGGTTAGAACTTTGTGACGATCCTTTTAAAATCAGGTGAACAAACACTAACAAAAACATTACCTCCTTAGTGGAGGTAATAATCAGATAATCCCTAGAGGCAGATGTTTCAATGTATAAATGAGCTAAGCTTGAAATGTTACAAATCCATTGCATTTATCAAGGAACGTGCAGGACATTTGATTTATATTGTCCTCATTGGTTCTAAGAAAGAAAAACATGTGAATCAACTGTTCAAAGTAACCCAGCCGTTACCTGAGATACCGCTGGATGAGCTCCTCGACAGTCAGCAGGTCTTCAGGCTGAGGAACCACTGGCATGGGGAACTGGTGCTGCAGGGGGCTGGGCTGCAGCACTTGGAAGGAAGCCTGACAGATCAGTATCGGCTGTCCGTGCTGGATGGCTTTAACCGAACGGACTGTGAAGCTGCGCCCATCTCTAGTGCGGTCCACCTGGTAAAGCACAGGTACCTTAGGGTCCCCTGCAAAAAAAACAACAACAAAACACACATAAAAGTAATACAAAAACATAAAAAATGGCTTTTCTTCCTAGTGATGGTCCTACTTTTAAATAAACAGTTAATGTTGAAACCTTACGCACCCTAAATGAAATGCTTCTGATGCCACAAGGTTGTCTTACCTGCTCTAACAAAGTAGCAATGGAGGGAGTGAGCATAGAGATTATCACCAACAGATTTGGCTGCAGCCACAAGAGCCTGACCGATGATCTGACCCCCAAATAGGCGCTGAGTGCGTGGCACCCAGTGATGCGTTCCCCTGAGGAAGACAGACAAAGAGGGGGATCAAATGTAACGCGGCCAACTAGCAGTGCAGCTGGTTGACACTGCTGATGTCAAACCCTCCAGCTCATACATCATGTTTACTGCCTGCAAGTATGATCATTCTCAGCTGTTTTTAGCAACACACCTATCCTTCAGATTTGTGGCTGAGTGCGACCTGAGTATAATTTTCTTTTTAATTTTCTAAAATCTTTAGCTAGCGGCATTCATAACATTATTTTCTCACCTTGCTGGTATTATCTTGTACTGGGATCATTGATTACATTAGAAGGAAGTCTTTTTACCCCATGAAACCCACTAAACAACTTTGTAAAAGGCTGCTACCTTGTTCAGTTCATAAAAGATTTAACCTCTGTAGACAAAAAGCAGACTCCTCCATCAACTTCCCATGCTGCTACCGCCAGAAGTTCTCTGATGATTCTGCCATAGTTGGCCTCATCACAGGTGGGGACGACTCAGAGTACAGACAGTGGACTCAGAACTTGCAGGGGAAACCAAGGAGCTAGTGGTGGACTTTCACAGAAGCAGATCCACCCCACTGACACCGTTGAACATCCAGGGAACGGACATTGAGATAGTGGACTCTTATGGCGTTTACCTGAATAACAAACTGAAATGGACTCACCAACACCAAGGCTCTGTATAAGAAAGGTCAGAGCAGACTCTTCCTGCTGAGGAGACTCAGTTCTTTTGGACTGCAGGAGGCGCTCTTAAAGACCTTCTATAACTCTATTGTGGCATTAGCCATCTTCTATGGAGCTTTCTGTTGGAGTGGCTTATCTGTAGCTGAGAGAAAATGTCTAAATAAGCTGATCAGGAAGGCCAGCTCTGTGATTGGATGCCCTCAGGACTCAGTGCAGCAGGTGGGAAACCAAAGGATACAAACTAATTTAACATCTCTGTTGGATAATGTTTCCCATCTCATGCATGGAGCTGTTGCAGAACTGGAGAGCTCCTTCAGTGATAGACAGCTGCACCCTAAATGCACAAGGGAGCGTTATCACAGATCCTTCCCCCCAGCACCTATAAGACACTATAACCAACACTGCTTCCAACAACCTCAATAAGTTTCTACATCCATGCTGATTTTTGCACAGTTTCTACCTTAGTCAGTTAAATAACATGCTGCTGTCATTTTGCACATCCCTGATGTTGAAGCTATTTTCCAATACTGTAAAAATGTCCATAGCTGTATATTGGTTATTTATTCTCCAAGTGCACAGTATTTATATTAATTAGACACTTTTATAAGTTTCACATTTGTGTGACCATTTTTTCTATAATCTTTTTGCTACTGTAAACAAAAGAATTCACTCAATGTGGGACAATAAAAAGATTTTCTATTCTATTCTCTAATCATTCTGCACAGTGCAATCTTTAAAACATTTTTTCCCTTTCTTTGTCTTTTCTTTCATTGATATTTAAAATGTTAGATTAAAGGTTTGCAAAAAACTAATGTTATATAATTTTCCCAACCCGTTTATTGAGGTTTTCAGTCTGGCAATGAGACAGTCGCCTTCATTTTAGATCGGTCGGACACCGTTAATGTGTCATGTAGATATATTTTCTTTTAGTTTGTGGTCAATCGATCTTGAAAAAGCCTCCGTAAATATAAATGTTGTGGAGCTAGCTACCTGTAGAGGTCAATGTCCAGCTGCTCCAGGTTCAAAACACTGGTAACCAAGACGCTTCTGAGGTCCTGCGGACACTGAGCTGCTGAACTTTCTGAGCTTTCGTCCTCAGCGGAATTCTCTGACTCTAAAAAAATCAGTTAATGGGTAAACTACATCACTTTCGTCCCATTTCCCTTCCGCCATGTTGCTTTACAACTTTCTCTTATTTGCTTTAAAGACCGGGGTGCCCTTCAGTTCTATTTGCTCTTTATCGCCCTCCAGTGGCTGAAAGAAACTTCTAGGAGGCTATTTTCTTTGCAAAAATCCAGTTTCTTCTACTTAATTTATAAATTAAGTAGAAGAAACTGGATTTTTGCTCTGCTCCTCTTTTAATTATTAAAAAATACCTCAAGCTTTGTGAATGGTCTTTATAATAAAATAATAAACAATTTTTACGATTAAGTAGGATTTCTCTAGATGTGCAGATTGCCACTTCTCTTCAAATTGCTAGCGTGGTATACGGCTCTGATTTAAATCCGGGAGTCAGCTTTCTATAAATAATCATACCTCTTTTTAAGGAGAACTACATAGTCTGATACAATAAACAATGATGATGTAACACTGTCAACAATAGCATCAATTTAAAAAGAAAATGAATAAATTGTAGTCGTCAGCAGGGTTTTTCTGCCACACTTAAGAAATGAATTCAGGGACATACATTTTTATATATGTTCCAGCATCGTCTTATGATGAACAGCTAAAATTAAACCTTTTTTGGGGAAGAAGAACCCAGTTAAGTTCA